TACTCTTTTGGAGGATTAAAAACATAAATTTCAAGCTTAATGGGCTAAAAATGACAATTTCGGCCCAATAGGGCCCATTATGCGAAATTTTCTGTTTTGGAGGGCCAAAACTGTGTTTTTCTGTAAAACAGTGGACTACTAGTGTTACAAGTACTTTTCAAAGGTTTAAAATGCTTTTCAAATTTAAAAAGGACCAAAGTTGCAAAAATTTTCCAATTGGGGCCAAAATTGTAAAAACTGCGAAAAAGAAGGGTTATAACCGAGAAAACTGCAATTTCAGGGACTTAAACTGTTTTCAATGAAAAATATGCTTAAAAATATTAATTTCAATAATTTTTGGTGTTAAAATGTCAAGAAAAATGATTTAAGGACCAAACCGGAAAGTTATTTAATTAGAGGGTGGAAAAAGTAAATTTTACAAACAATGAGGGGCTGAAAACAGAAAACGTTCAAGGCTAATTCAATACACGCAACTTGATCAAATATTGGCACCGCGACTACCGACACAATACACAACAATACCAAAAATCGTTGTTAAACGAATTGATTCGGTCTCGAATCAATAACAAATCCAAAACTACTAACACTACAACGCTCAATACACATATGGAACTCTCGGAACTCTATACTCTCGTGGAATTACTCAATACGTCGACGTACATTCCTTAGGCCCAAAAGTTGCAAATCATGCTTGTTGAGCCTAGCTAGCCCGATGACATGATCTTTAGGCCCAAAGGATACTTGCTTACATGTAGTTGGGTCCAATACGACTTAACCGCGTGTAAAAGGACTTTCAATGGCAAACGTGTTGCTGGTCCCCAAGGGTCCTTCGGTGCTGCTAGTAAAGTCGGAACTCACGATTGCGGGTTGGGCTTCGGGCCCTTCGCAATTGCAATGGTCTTGAACGACGTAGGGAAATACCGAGGGTTTCGCACCTTCTCTTTTTCTCTTCGGTCGTGGGACTACACAAGTCCGGGAGGGTTGAGTTATGTGAATAAGTGCGAGCGACGCCTAAGGGATCGCTAGTATGGTTGTCAACTGGACGTTTTCATTAACGTACGTTACAACAATTCACAACCCACTGTATACGCAATGCCTCCGGAGCTCAACGAATACCTCTAATGTAATGAAACAACAACACATAAACTAATTAAAGCAAAGTGATAGGAAAACATCGGGTTTTCCTAGGGTTTTCAACTAATACACTTACGAATTACATGCCGAATTTTACAACTCGTACGCTTACATCTATAGAAAACAAACAAGCATACTCACGGATCTTCACACTTTTTTTTACGCAATACTATTTTCAGAAAATATCGGATTTTCTGGTGGTTTTCGAAACAATACAAACATTGGATTTCAAACATTACTTATGAACTCACCAACATTTCATATGTTGACGTTTTTCAAAATACTTGTATTCTCAGGTAACAGATAAAACGAAGGGATAAGTGTACTCAGTGACGTTTTGCTGCTTGTTTAATTAGCACCGAACAATCTACTTTCTGGGCATTTAACGTTAGGGAACAATGTACTAAATGTAAACGCTACCGGTTGTATTATTCCAATGCTTGGTGATGTATGATGTTACGTTTCATGTATATTCATTGTAATGGTATTCAATGGAGTCACGACAGCCCTCAGACGTTTCCGCCGTCTGGTTCGGGGGTGTGACACTCGAAATCATAAATCCCATGCGTGTGTACAGATCATGTCGGCGCCTTCCCACGGTCGTCACTAGTACCTGAAACAAATAACACCAAACACTGTAAGCACAAAGCTTAGTGAGTTCCCCAAAATACCACATATAACACATATTAGCCACTCGAGGCTATAAGTCTGTGGGTCCGTGCACCCAAACTCTGTGAACCCTCAGGTTCTAACTCTGTAAACATGCACAACATAAATCACAAAGAATAATGCAGTGCAACATATAACATATAAATATGGCATACAAGCACTGTATCACATAACTCTATTTACCTACTCAAGGTAAAGTATAGTGAGAAGACTCACCTCGCGTGTCTAGTAAATTCGTAAATACCTGAAATCACTAGTGCTCGATCTCCCGAGCTATAGTCCTCCTATAACACAATGCATCTCTAATTAACACTTTCCCAACTAAGGTTGACTATCCCTTAACAAGTCAACATAGGTCGACCCTGGTCAATGGTCAACGGTCAACTTTGACCGGACTCAGCGAGTGCACTATAGTGACTCGGCGAGTCTAGGCGCATACACTGATTTCCCTGGGATCCTCACTTGACACGTCGAGTATTCTCCTAACTCGACGAGTTCCACCTGGCATGAGTTGTGGGGCCTCCACGACTCAACTCGCCGAGTCTCAAGAACAACTCGGCGAGTCCCAGCTTGACTCAGTCCACCTGTCAACCCACTCTGACTCTCCCTGACTCACTGAGTTAATCCCTTAACTCGACAAGACCACTCTCTGAGCGGTGCTGGGCAATCTTCATGCTACTCGTCGAGTCTGTTCTTCGGACTCGGCGAGTCCATGCCATGCAACGACTCAAACTCCCTCCTAAGGTCAGATCTGTTCCACTAACTCATAGATCTAGTCCTTCCAAGCTTATTTATCACGTAAAGTTGCTATCTTGATGCACATACAACATCTATATGACCATATATGATGATTTAGCCACAAATACCACAACTCAATGTCATAACCTCCATTGCTCTTCATAAAGCTTGATGAGTGAGGCTCTCTGGACCTCTATGGATCCAGATCCAAATCCTCATCACTAGAAAGGGACTATTTGGGCGTCAAATCAACCGAACAAAGGCCATAAGAAACCCTAAATCCAAATATACTTCATAAAACAGAAGATAAGCTGAAATAATACCTCAAGTTCGATGATCTAAGCTTCAAATCCACAGTATAGCAACCTCCTTTGCTTCCTCTTGGCTAGGATCTTCTTCTTCTTGCTTATACAACACCACAAAGGTCAAGAATGGCTTCTTTTCTCTCTCAAAACATTCAAGCACTCTAGGGTTTCTCTCTATGGATTGGTGAGCACAAATGACGGCCATAAGGCCCTTTAAATAGGTCTCAAACCCTGGGAATTAGGGTTTCATTACACAGCGTGGACTCGCCGAGTCCAGACGCGAACCTGCGTCCAAAATCGCGATCCTACTCGGCGAGTTCGAGCTCCAACTCGCCGAGTCCACTCACAATTCTAAAAAATGCACCAATAATAAATACATGGAAATTTCGGTCTGTTACATTTATTGTAGTTGAAAATGAAAATTAAGTAAGAGGAAGATAAATGTGTAATTTATAAAAATAATGGAAGTAAATCAATTTAGAAGTTAAATTATAAGAACATTGGACACTTATATTGTATTATATGATACAAAACGATGTAGTATTGTGAGTTTGGGTACCTAAACTTATATACCTTAAGGGTGTATATATATATATATATATATATATATATATATATATATATATATATATATATATATATATAGGTTCAGGTTCATTTGAGACCGTTTTAATTTTGTGAGACCGTGAGACCAAATCTAAAAATAATTTTAAAATGCAAAATAAATGGAAAAATCCAAAAATTCTTTTTTTTAAATATTATTTTCGGAACTTGAATTAACTAAAAAAATTAAAAAAAATAAAAGTAAAAATAAAAAATAAATAAAAATAAATTCCATTTTTTTGAAAAATACGTGAAATATTCTAATAGAATATTACACTGACATCTTGTAAAAAATAATTTTAAAATGAAAAATAAAAAGAAAAATCCAAAAATTCTTTTTTTAAATATTATTTTCGGAACTTGAATTAACTAAAAAAATAAAAAAATACGTCTCACGGTCTCACAAAATTAGGTCGTCTCACATGAACTTAACCATATATATATATATATATATATATATATATATATATATATATATATATATATATATATATATATATATCAATGTTGCAGAAATCGGTCTAATCAGGGATTAATCGCTAATCGGACATCCACCGATGATATTTATTACTAATCGGTTACTATAATTGGGCTTGGTCAATGCAAATGAAAATCGGAATTAATTGGAACTAATCGAACTTAATCGAACCTAATCGGGTTTGGTCAATGCAGGTCAAAGTTGGACCTTCTCGCTTATTTTGGAGGATTAAAGTTAGATTTATAAATTTTTGAATAATTTTCTTAATAATTAATGGTTTTCGATTAATCCTTAATTGTGAGTCCACCGATTAACGATTTCTGCAACCATTATATATATATTTAATATATTTTTTAACTTTGAACTTTTATATTTAATATAATTTTTGCATATTTCAAAAGATTACAACTACTTTTCGCAAAATACTTTCTTACAAATAAATATTACAACTTCTTGCTAACAATTATTTCTCCCAAACATACCGTTAATTAGCATATACAATATTAAATATGTTTCTTAAACATGCCTTGTTTGCGTGTACACCAATCGTTTTGTTTGCATATTTGTTTAGTAATCCTCATCATAGTTTCTTATTAACATTGCTTTTACTTGGTTGCTTCATGTTTACTTGGATACTCGATACCTTTTTGTGTTTATTGTCAAAAGCTTTTACTCCTATTTGTGCTTATAGCTCGACTTGAACGAAATAGACGTGAAAAAATACAAGCTATTTAAATGATGATAATCTTCTTTACAACTGATGATGACAAATTTAGATTGGTGCTCGACAATGTTGTATAATTTTTTGATTTTGCATTTTTTAAGTTGTGAACATTATGATATGAACAACTTTTTTTTTTTTGATAGACATTCATATATTTTAAAAACTAGTCATAAAATTCGTCTCTCATGTTAAACTTATTAATAAAAAGTGTTTTTTTTGCCAAAGTTGACTCGAAGAGAAAAAGATGAAATTGTGCATAAATGATAAAAGAAATGTTTCTATTTCGAACAACACGTTTCCAAAATCAATTTAAATATTAGGTAATTAAATCGTTATTTGGTTATAAACTCGCAACACTAACTCTTAAATCGTTGATTTTAAAACTATATTCCAAAAAAAAAGGTGATCCACCATCTTAATTCCTAAATTTACAACATTCTAAAAAAAAAAAATTCACCTACCTATTTGGATCATCATCATACAATACTATTACGAAATTTCCTGTATGAAAACCAACCTTTCAAGAAATTTGCCACTTTAGAGCCATGAATGAACACCGACTCCCCTTCATCATCTTCTTCAATAGAATCACAGTTTCTGGCATCATCACTTGACCTGAAAATTTAAAAAACAACATTTTAGTTACAAAATAAGCAACAAATATATGAAATATATAATGGGAAGTGATTGATTCATACATTGAAGGTTGTTTCAACTCATCACTTTGATTCTTGATCATTTGTTGTCTTGTTGGTCGATAGTTGATTGTAACATGTCGTACAAATTTAATCTGAATGTATCAATGACAAAAAATTTAGAGCACGTTTATTTATAAGAACATGGGAATGTTAAATTGAAGGATGTGATATGAGATAATAGATAACCTGATCACCATCTTTGATTCCAAGTCTTCTTATATATGCTTTATCATTCAACAGCTTTTGGCCTTTATAGCACAGACAAAAATGCCCCCATACATGTGACCTGATATCATGAAGTTTCTTGAGATGTTAATAAATAGTTAACTTTTCAGATAAACCAAAAGGAACAGTCTGGTGCTATTTAACAATTGTAGAATTCAACAAATAATTGAAGTCCAAATCAGTCTTCACATGTGGTGATCCTGACATTTTCAAGTCTAAATGTTTCCTTTGCTTTCTCATTCAAGAAATCAGTTTAGTTTGATATATCACTTTTAGAAAATGATCTTTATTGTTGAAAAAAGTTACAGTTTGACCTAAGATTCGTGGTCAAGGGAACGAAATTCAACGTAAAAGCTTATACGAGTTCATTGCAATCAAGGAAAAAACTGTTTTATAAGTTAAAAGTTATAGCGTGTTAATGCCAATTGCACCAAAATATGAATCTGTAACAAGTAACAACATCGATTGATCTTCAATACGAAGTTATACGCATCTTACCAGGAAACAATGCATCTCTTCTCCTTAGGCAAGAAGCGAAAAAACTCCTCTAATACGAGTTTAAGATCTGCTACGGTAGCATTCATAGAAACCTCGACGCCTAAATAGTCAAAGAAAAAGAAATCGGAACTTAAACAACCGAAATTGAGCGTGAAACAGATTACATTACGAAATAACAGAAGAATCGAAAGTTTACCAAAGGAAGAACCATCTAATTTCAGAACAGATAACTTGAGAAGCTGTTTAGGAAGCTTGTGATATGAAAACGATAAGCGTCGAACAATGAGTGCGTTGTGCATCAAAACCCTTGGATTTCGATTATCGTGATCGAAGCTCGACATTATCTCCATCATATGTATGTGTGTGTGTGTTTTAATGATCTTGGCAATAAAGAAACCCTAGCTACTTTGGGGGTCAAACACAAGTGAGTGAAGAAAAATGGCAGAACAACGAGAGAGAATCGGAGATGGAGATGGAGTTTTTTTGGGAGGGGGAACGAATTGGCGACCGTTGTAATGAGAGGAGGTTGTTTGTTGGGAAGCAGAAAAGTTTATGTACTTGCGGTTTCACTCGCCTCAATGGACGCGCGTGCGTCTGAAAGAGTTTACACATAAAGTTATACAAATGGTCCCTTGGTTTATAAAACGTTATAAGTCTAATCTTTTTAATTTGGGAAAACAACATAAATTCCCTACAAACTTTCTAGGGTTTATTCATTTAGTCCTTAAAGTCTTTGTCGGATTTTATGGGTCCCTAAACTAAGTCACGACCTGCCTTTTTAGTCCCTTTCAACCTATAATAGTCGGTTCAGTGACATTTTAGACAAAAAAAACTCACATTGTGTCCTTACAAAGCCAAAAAAAAAAAAAAAAATAAAAAAAAAAATTCGGGAACTCGTTATGGGCATTACGAGTTTGTGGTGATGTCATTTGGGCTCACCAATGCACCAGGCTGATACTCGATTGATCCGACATTGTATTTATTGATGATCTTGGTGTATTCCAAGACCATAAAGCAGCATGAGGAGCACCTTCGAGGGTTTTTAGGGGTTTTGAGGCGAGAACGACTTTATGCTAAGTTCTCGAAGTGTAAGTTTTGGTTACGAGAGGTCCAGTTCCTAGCACACCTCGTTAAACAGGATGAGATTTTGGTCGATCCGACCAAGATCGAGGCTGTGATGCAGTGGGAGGTTTTGAAATCTCCTTCCAATATCAGGAGTTTCTTGTGTTTGGCAAGGTACTATCAGAGATTCATTAAGGATTTCTCCAAGATTGTGGTACCCCTCACTCGTATGACGAGGAATGGGGCGGATTTCTGATGGGGCCCTGAGCAGTAGTCATCGTTTGATACTCTTCGGCAGAGGTTATATGAGGCCCCAATATTGACCCTCCTAAAGGGAGTTGAGGGTTTTGTGGTATTCTGTGATGCATCCATCACCGGTTTGGGGGCAGTCCTCATGCAGAGAGTGTAGGTGATTGCTTATGCTTCGTGGCAGCTAAAGCCACACGAGTCACGATATCCTACTCATGACTTGGACTTGGGGGAGATGGGTTTTGCACTCAAGATTTGGAGGCACTATCTATATGGGGTCCATTATATCGTCTACACAGATCATAAGAGTTTAAGTCATATTATGGATCAAACGGACCTGAACATGAGGCAACACAGGTGGTCGAACGTAGTCAAGGATTATGATTGTGATATCCTTTACCATCTGGTTAAAGCGAATGTGGTGGCGAATGCTTTGAGCCGCAAATCGGCTAGATCTTTGAATATGGAGATGTGCTTGAGGATATTAGTGGATTCCCCACTTTTGGAACTCATCAGGGAGGCTCAGCCCGGGGGAGTTCAGAAGGAGAACTGGAAGCAAGAGAGGATCAGAGGTGAGATTGACAAATTTTTAATGGATATTCGAGGGTTATTGACCCGGTGTGGTCGGGTTTGGGTTCCAGTTTCTAGTGAGATCAGACAGATTATGTTGGAGGAGGCTTATAAGTCTCGTTTTTCTATTCATATAGGGGCCACCAAGATGTATCGTGATTTGAGATTGAGCTATTGGTGGCCGTGTATGAAGAGGGTGCTTGGTATGTTGAGAGATGCATGACCTGCAGGATGGTCATGGATGAGCATCAAAGACCGCATGGCAAGCTGCAGCCTCTGGAGGTTTCCATGTGGAAATAAGAGCAGATTTCGATGGATTTTATCACCAAGTTACCAAAGACGGTAAAGGGTTATGATGCTATATGGGTCATTGTGGATCGATTGACCAAGAGTGGCCACTTTTTAGCGATTCGGGAGAGTTCTTCGGCCGAGAAGTTAGTCGATATGTATGTTCGTGATATTTTTGATCGCCATGGGGTTCCGGTGTAACATCTAGGATTTCGGGTATGTTTGTTTGTGTTTCAATTTTTGAGGATTTAGGAGGGACTCGACGAGTCGAGAGTCTGACTCGCCGAGTCACGTCGAGTTGATTGCAGGTATTTAATGAGAGGGCTCGATGAGTCCAAGTATGGACTCGCCGAGTAGGTGCTGGGCAGAGAAAACCCTAAGTTCCGGGGTTAGAGCCTATTTAAAGGAACTTATGACCTTAGATGTGCCTCATATCTCCTGTGAGAAACCCTAAACCGCCATTGGAGCCAAGGGAGAATTCTTATGATGAAATCAAGTATTTTGGTGTGATTTTGCAAAGGAAGAAAAGGGATTTAGCTAGAAGGACCAAAGGAGGATGTCATACTAAGACATTCAAGCATGGATCTCCATTATGAGGTAGTAATTCGACCCCTTTCTTCTGTTTTGTGAAGAATCCTTGAATCTAGGGTTTTCTTTACCCTTTCTTGGATAGTATATGATGCATATGGGGTCCCAATGTGGAATAAGTATTAGTTATGGACCTTAAGAGGTTCAGAGAGTCCCAATCTTCCAGCTTTATGCAGTTCCATTGGAGTTATGAATCTAGGATGCCATTTTTAGAGTTATTTCACCATATAGAGCTATATGTGTGTTGCATGTGTATAAATTCTGGACCTTTACATGACTATTGGTTGTTAGAAGGTCAAATCTATAGGTTGGGGAAACAGATCTGACCTCAGAATGTCATTTGAGTGTGGCCATGGAGAAAACTCACCGAGTCCATAAGAGGACTCGACGAGTCGAGTCGGATTCCCCCGTGATTCGTGACATGTGGTAACCTGTCGAGTGAAAGGTTAACTCGACGAGTTGGTGAGACCTTAGGAGGATTCAGAGGACAAGCATGGACTCACTGAGTCACCTGAGTGCACTCGACGAGTCTGGTCAAAGTTTGACCGTTCACTAGAGTTGACTTCAGTTGACCTTAGGGTTTTGGTCATACTGATTCAAGAGAGGTCAGGGAGGGGTAGAATGGTCTTCTACCCATTCTATAGAGATGAGGTCAAGAGAAAGTATTAATGACAGATGTTTTCCTTATGTGTGGCGGAGGCTCGATCGAGGTTATCAAGCCAAAAGGTTTACTAGACATCATGAGAGGTGAGTCTTCTCACTATACTTTACCTAGAGTGGTAACTATGTGTGACCGGAAGGTCTTATATGCTATGCAGAGTATGTGATATGTGTTGTTATGTGATATGTATGTGCTATGCTATGTTCTGAGTACCATGATATGGACCGGAAGGTCAACAGTGTATGGACCGGAAGATCAAGATGATGAGGACCGGAAGGTCATACGAGTAGAGCCGAAAGGTCTATCAGAGTTGGGATGGAAGTCCCCTGAGACACATGGATCGAAAGATCCCACAGAGCTATGGCCTTAAGTGGCGTATGTATTGTATGTTGTATTTCAGGGAACTCACTAAGCATTTATGCTTACAGTGTTATGTGTTATGTGTTTCAGGTACTAGCGATGATCGCAAGAAGGCACCGGCATGATCCGTACACACCGATAGAGGATTTATTTTATGATCTTGGGATATGTTTTATCATGATGGAATTTGTTAAATTGAGATTTGAGAATATTGAATGAGTTATATGTTATGTGAAAATTGAAAAATTGTTTTTAAAATTCACGTTGTTACAAGTTGGTATCAGAGCCTTGGTTTGAGGGATTCGGATGCACCATCAGGCATATTTGAACTCAAACTGAGGATTTGAGAAAGTTTTATACAAGAAACATTTTTTTCTAAAAAGTAAAAGAATTTGAGAAAGCGGAAAGAAGTAGTTTGTACGATCAGTCAGCACCCGAACGGTGATTTCCCAAAATACCCTTACGTTATGTGTTATGAAATATGATATGATATGCTATGTATGCTAGAGTAGGCTAGGTATTCATATTAGGACTAGAGTGGCCTGATCTATGATGCCTTAGCCTAGGAGATTACTGCTGCTATGAGATGCTTGAGAGTGAGTGGGTAGTAGTGAGGAGCTTATGAGGGGCCTACCGAAGGGTAGCCGGTGCTTAGCGAGAAGTAAAGTACTTGTGATCTAGGATCCTAGGAGGAGGACTTGGGTGAGTACCAATGCGGTGTGGACGGTAGTATAGGGCCCATACTACTGAAAACACCGGATCAGTGTGCAGTCCAAGTAAGAATCCTTAGGGTACCAAGGAACAAGTAGGATTAGGTGATCGAGAGCGAGTATATTCGATCGAGTCTCTGGTATCTCTGTGTTGTGTTTCAGAGACATCATGGTGGGTACACGTCACACCAGAGAGCAACAGATTTAGCGATGAAGAGATTCGCAGGATGACTCACGATGAGGTGGGCCTATGACGTTGAGGGATGTTTCTACACTTGTTCCTATCCGGAACATTTAAGGGTACGGTTCGCGCTAAACCAGTTCTACTTGGGAGCAAAAGACTAGTGGAAATTTGTGTCGGAAGACTTCACTCCTGCAGAGATTACAACGGTGACCTGGAAGAAGTTCACCACCATGTTTCGAGACGATTAGGTTCCCCAGTGGAGAGGGAACGGTTGGCGCAGGAGACCTAGTCCTTTAGGCTGGAGACGGAGTTCGTGACTGTGATTACACAGATGTTTCACGAGAAGGCGTAATTTTTCCCTGAGCATGTGTCTTCCTAGTAGGCACGCATGAGTCGATATTTGAGCATTCTGAGGAGAGATATCCGGGAGTTCATAGCGAACTCAATGTACCGAACATTTACCAAGCTCCAGGAAAATGCTTGGAAGAGGGAGATTGAGCTAGAGACTCAGGCCATGGAGGAGGCTGAACCTCAGGAGTGGTGATGTCATGGTTCGATTACCATGATTGGTAGCAGACAAAGAAGTGATGTCATGGTTTGAGTATCATGGTGGATGGTAGCTTGAGAGGTGGTGTCATGGTTCGGGTATCATGGTTCGTAGTATATAATGCTTGTACCTTTTTCCAGATTATTCCGTCATGATGGATTAGGTGGAGATCGGATGCGACAGGGTATTAGGCCTGAGGGCCATGTTGAATGAGTTTCAAAAGAAGCATCCCTTGAGAAGGAGGTTGAGATAAATTCAAGGATTTTTGGTGAGCTGACAGATGCAGTCGCA